GTGCGGTTACCGTATCCCGGCTTAACCCGTACGTATGTTTTGCACTTGGTTAGGGAGTGGGACGTAGAGCCGTCTGGCCCAGATCATCTACGTTACCACCCTGATTAGAGACGCGAGCATTAGATCTTGAATTGTGGCTTCCTGAAGGTTTTAACTCGGCAAAGTATGTAACTAACCGGTTTGTTCACATGAGAGTCATGGTGTTTGTTCCAGCTCCTTGGAAAAGATGTACCCAACATCGAGCATGCCTCGTCCCTATGTGTGCCATGCGACAACTAGTCAGAATGATAGCGCAGTTTCGTCATCGTTCTCATCGGATGCTAATGGGCATCGGCCTACAAGGTTCGGACGACAGTTTTTTTGTTGGTGAGGGCCGCTTTAGTGGTTAGTCATATAGCCTCTGTGTTCAAGGTTACGCAGCATTCGAGAGGAACACCTACGAGGAAATCCAACGACATTCGCGATTCCGGTCTGTCACTTTCTGTATTTGTTATTTTATGTCAACTGGAAAGGCTTCTCATTTGTTAATTTGCTATTGTGCATCTTTTATGAGATATTGAGGACTTTCAGCGAGTGGAACATCATTCGAAGGGTGATACAATGCAGTTTGATCATAACACCGAGGAAGGTACGTTTGAATAGGTCAAATTATTGATATAGCACTTAGGAGGCGTTCACAAGCAGCGGACAACTCGTTCCCAAAAATCATCTAAGCGCAGTTTGGCTAGTGGGTTGGGGGAAGGGGGTGGGAGGGGGAGCAGTTTGCACTTTCGCACTTCTCATTGTCGCATTGATTGCTTGACAAGAGTTAACAGGTAATCTTTATTAGAGTTGACAAATAGTTTCTCCAAACTTTGACTGGTATCACTTCATGGCTTCATAAGACTTCACAAGTCTCTTCTTGATTCGACACGACAATGGGAAGTAGCCAAGGTTAAGATCCCCCACCCCCTAGCCGAACTGCATCCCTTCTGTTCTATTTTTCGACATATTGCAATTTTTTGAGGGCGACGAATGTTTGCTGCTATGCTGTGCAAAAAGCTGAATCGGTTGCAAGCAAGGCGCGAACGAAACGACGAAACCGAACGACAACTAAGGGATATTGAAGATAGAAAGTGTACGGTAAGTTGATTAGCCTTTTGTTCACCTTTGGTTAGGTGAAACTGGAATTCTAAAGACAAACTGTACACTCACGTCCAAGGACGGTCGTCTCCATGAGCGAAGTGAATGGGTCCGCAGCTGCAATAGCCTGCCACTTCAAAGAGGCGCGCGAACGAGCTGGAGAGTAGTGTTGCTCGTTGCCGGCTCCATACTCCTTCTCCGCTATTCCCAAATGTGCAACACTTGCGCAGACAACAAGGTCCCACAGCGAAGAGAACAACCA